GGGGGGGGGGGGGGGGGGGGGGGGGGGCTCCGCATTTAAATTTAATTTTAAATGAAGCTTCTTAAACATTTTAAAAACCTTATTTACTTTATATACAACAAAAGTTTAGTTATATATTATAGACTTGTAGAAAGAGACCTTCTAAAAACGTTAAAATGTATTACTGGCACGCAAAACCTTAAATTAGAATGATTAAATAAAGTCTCGGCACACCACTTCTGAAAGGTTGCCGACCCCTGATATAGATTCTCTCATGATTATGAACGTCGAATATAAAAAGTGTTCTTGCTAGATGAAGCAGTGAGTTGTCCATCCGGTTTTTACTGGAGACATGTTCTCATTCTCTGCAATGGATACACCTGGAATCTACATTTACCATTTCCAGCCCTTTTGAGTTACTCTTTCTTAAGCCCTGACTCATCAGAACCCACAAATGGGGAAGCAGCACCAACATAAACTCTGGCATAACACAGTGCTTTTGCACAACAACCACAGAGCAATGGAAACCATCAGTTACTAGCAACATGTTTGCACACTAATGAAGCTTTCCACAACCTTTCTACTCATTTCTCCCCACCTTGAACTCATTTTTCCTCCCAGCCAGTCATCAGCTCAAGCACGATCTGCCTTGATGAGGTTTTCCTGTGAACAAAGGTTGTTTTGGGAAAAAAGTAGAACAGGCTGGACTCTGGCACTCACTCCCAGATAGAAAAATTAGGAATTAATCCAGATGATAAAAATCCCTGCTGAAGAATCAAGCTGAATTAATTCTGTCTGGAGGAAAAAAATGTGAGGAATTCAGAATTATGCAGGAGCCAGATACGTTTGGATGAGATTAACTGTTTGCATTCAGGGAGAGTTCAGAACTTCTCCTTGACTCTTCCCACATCCACCTCCATGGTTGGTGAACTCTGTTCTGCTTTATAAACAAATTTATCTCCCCAGTTTATTGCAGCATCATAGCTCATGGAGTTGTTTCTTTACTGTACATTCAGAGTTCCATCTGCACAGGCAAGTAGACAGGACGGATCCACACTTCATCTGCACCAGCGCTGAAGAATATCAGTAACATCAAGGGATTTAGACACTAGTTTTTCTCACTGGTTGTTTTATCTTATCTGTAGCTAACTACATGCACAGCTTATGGGTCATTTAAATGTTTAAGACACAGACTTTAGGTATTTTACTGCTCATTGTCAAGATTTGGGAGTACCAACAGCAAAAGCTAACTGGTGGGAAAGCAGAATGCCACATGAAAAAATTACAGAACTATTAAAGAGATCTAACAATTTACAATGTAAGAATATAAATTTAGCAAACGTTTCTCTTAAAACAAACCCAGTGTGTTGTATAAGCCATCAGGCAGAAGGAGAGGGTTATGCGTTAGTCATTTCTGTAATTACAATACTAGGCACCTCTTTTAAACTGTGGATAGCATAGGAAGAGCTTAATTAAATTTAAGAAGAGAATGCAGATTCTTCAAGAACTATTTGTGTTTTATATACAGAAAAGCGTTAATTACGTTAAAATCTCTCATAACATTCAGAGAAAATGGAATTTAGGTAAGAAAGTTTTGTTAATTGTTTATCTTTACAATGTTCACAGAGTGACTAGGAAATGCATAACAGGAAGTAGCATGGTCTCATACACTGAACTAGGTTTCATACTGCAGTCCTATCAGAACAGGGAGAAATCCAAAACAAATTAATGGTTTACATTTTTTTGACAGTGGAAAACCTTGTATGTTATAATACAATTAGCTCAAACTTTCTCCATTTTCCAAAACAATGAAGGAAGAATAGGCCCCATTACATACATGGCTTCTGCTGGACCCCTGAAAATGCTCAAATGGATTTCTATAATCACTAAGAAGGGAAGCAAACATTTCATACTTGTCTGTATTTAACATGCACATACTGAGCAAGGTTGCTGCTTAGAGAGCATGTCTGTCCAACACCAATGAAATGAAAACTTCTTAACAAAACCAGTAGATAGGCTGGCAAAAATCAAATACACAAATATAAAAATGGAGAATAACTGACTAGACAGTAGTACTTGCAGAAAAGTATCTAAGAGTTATAGTAGATCACACATTTAGGGTTACCATATTTTAAGTGTCCAAAAAGTGACACTCCATGGGGCCCCGGCCGCACCCCAACTCCGCCCCAACCCCAAAGTCCCCGCCCCAACTCCGCCCCCTCCTCTGAACGCTTCGCCCCCCTGCTCTTCTCCTTCCTCTGCTTCCATGCGAACAGACAGGCAGCAGGTAAGCTGGGGCTAGGGGGAACGAGGAGGTGCGGCCCAGTCCAGCCCCCCCAGCCGAGCGGCTCTCTCCGGCGGCTGGCCTCGGCCAAGAGGCTCTGGCCCCAGCATCTCCGGCCCGGCTTGGCTCGGGTCCTGGGGCGCCGCCCTGGTTCTGGCCGAGCGCGCCAGCCGGCGGCCCCGGCCTTGGGCGAGCAGCGCTGGCCAGCGGCCAAGCAGCCCCGGTCCCAGGGGCTCCGGCCCGGCCCCGGCAGAGCGAGCGGCGCCGGCTGGCAGCCGAGCACCCGCCGGCCCCAGCAGCTCCGGCTCCGGTCCCAGCGGCTCCAGTCCGGACCCAAGCCCCACGACCCCTCCCTCCTTATTTTCCCCAGACATGTCCGACTTTTTGGCAATTCCCCCCGGACGGGGATTTGAGGACCAAAAAACTGGACATGTCCAGGAAAATCCGGATGTATGGTAACCCTACACACATTGAATGTAAGCAAACAATGTGAGGCAGTTGTGAAAAAGGTGACTATCATTCAGAGATGAAAATAAGCTGGTCCGGTCTGGTATGGCATACCGGTAAGAGCCGGTACACAGACGACCGTACTGGCAGGGCTGCTGATGAGGGGGCCAAAAGGAGCCCGGCAATTTAAAAGGGCCCGGGGCTCCCAGAGATCCTAGGCTCCTGGCCGCCGCCACTGCTACCCCAACCGCGATTTAAAGGGCCCGGGGCTCCCAACTACCACAATCGCTACCACATCAGCAGCCAGAGCCCCTGGCCTATAAATCACCTCCCGAGGTCCCTTCCAGCCCTACATTTCATGATTCTAAGTAATATCACCCTGGCCTACTGTATATGAAAAGACAGGCGAATTAAGAAAACAGACAGAAAAGCTCTTAGATGTGCATGTTTGGCATGTCTTTCTTTAACCAATTAAAAGGAAAAGATTTTTTTTGCCTCATCCTTCTCAGATCTAATTCACTTCAGTTGTTGGTCAAATCTGTAACTCAAATTCCAATAAGTGCTTTTTCTCCCAATAATGTTTTAATTTTGCCAATTCCAGCCCTTGCTCTCAAATCTATTTAGCAGTTCCTCAACAGCATATGAAGTGAGATGGGGAATAGATATCTCAGTTATCTACCACACCTAAGGAGTAATGGGAAGAAATTAAGGGTATGTCTAAACTTACTGGGGATCGACGCTACAGCAATCAATGCACTCGGAGTCGATTTAGCGAGTCTAGTGAAGACCTGCTAAATCGACCGCAGATCGCTCTGCGGAACGAGACGCGTAAAGTACTCTACCAGAACAAGATGCGTAAAGTAAGTCAATGGGAGAGTGTCTCCTGTTGACCCAGAGCGGTGTAGACACCGCAGTAAGTCAACCTAAGCTACGCTGACTCCAGCTACGTTATTCATGTAGCTGGAGTTGCGTAACTTAGGTCGATTTACCCCCATAGTGTAGACAAGGCCTAAGAAAGGGAAAATTTAGGTTGAATATCAGAAAAGCTTCCCAACTATTAGCCTTTGGAATAATCTCTCACATCAAGTGGGGGAAATCTCATCTCATTTAAAATTTGACTAGATAAAAAAAACTCTAGGAGGTGTACAATAAGATGATTTACTGGCAAGGAATTGGACTAGATAACCCAAATAGGTGTATTGCATCTCTACAGTAGAGTCTAAAATAAAGTTTGTTAACAGAAGTTGCAATATTTTTAGGGCTCACGTTTTTTTCCCTACAAATATCCCACCTTCACTACCAATTATTGCAACTCAACAATCAGGGCCGGCTCTATGTTTTTTGCTGCCCCAAGAAAAAAAATTTTTGGCTGCCCCCCACTCCAGCCCTGGGCTCTCCCCCTTCCCCCAACTGCACCCTCCTGCTGCCCCAGCCCTGGGTCACTGGTAACTCGCTCCCAGGGCGGGTCATTCAGCAGGAATTTTGGATGTGCACAGAACACAGACAGGACTGGTTCCCATATGGTTACAGAAATGCAGTAAAGTGGAACAATTTTCAGCTTGTGTGACGAGGATATCTGGATGCATATTATAAGACTGTCCTACATAAATGAGGAAAAGTTGAGGTACCTTTATTATTCTTTTGTTCCATTCTTTGTTTCTATGGGGAATGCACTATCACGGTCTTCCTTTTAAACAAATAAAACTAAAACTTAAAAAAAAAATTCCAGTCCTAATAACCACTGGGAAGCATTTCTTGCTCA